CAACATCTACATTTGTTGGTTCTTCTGGGGTGGACTTCAGTTGCTTCTCTTCAACAGCTCGCTGTGAGGGAGGTCTCCCCCGGATGGCTGAGTGATGTCACCCACAGGCTGAGAGCTGGAGCTGAGACGAGTTTTAAACCTCTTGACAAACCATTACACCGCACCCGCCTGTCAAGCTGGTCAGCTACACGCCTTATTGTGAATAACTCTTATCCTTCATCAAATCAAAACTGATGAATCATCAAAACATTCACCCCCAGTACAGTGTGTGTCCATCGAGACATGAGCTAATCACACCTATTTGTTTGTTTTGTACCAAGCTGTAAACATGTTCATCTCTGCTGTAAAAACATCCTTTTTTTAATGTTGTTTTTCAGATTAAATAAATATTTCTATATAAATGCACTCCTTTATGTCTACTTATGAGTATACATTTCAGATTTGAAATGACAAGACTAAAATGTGCATTAATGCTCAACTCAATAGCTTAGGGAAGGAAGTCTACTTTTACACAACTTCTTATTCTTTTGACATTTTATTCTTTAGTTCATTTCTGAAAGTGGGATGGAACAGAGTCATTGCCACATTTGCCCTTAAACACAGCCCCATTCTTAAATCAAGATACATCAAGAGTAAATAAGATCAATAACTTGTGAATAAAAACACAGTTAAAAGTTATTTAGAAATGTAGTCTTCCCAGATCAATATCACATAATATCAACTTCTCCCATCTAAACTGGACAAAGGGTTTTAAAATAGGAAGAAAATAGTTTGATTGCAAGTTGTTAGGAGGAGATCTAGTTTTATTTGAACAGCTGAAGCATGAATACAGTCTTCCAAGGTGCAAACCCTCCTCCTTCTCCTGAAGCCTGTGGAGCTCCTTCTGCTGTCTTATCTGCTGGCCATCTTCTCTCAGCAGAACTTCGACTGAAGCATCAACTTGTTGGATGGTCTGTTAACCGCACAGCAAGCCATGTATGTTGTCAGATATGTGTTAAACAAACTCTCCAAAGGAAGTAAAAAAGAGGAGAAATCAGACGGATCAAGCTGTTAGCCTCCTGACCTGCTGACCTGACAGACAGATGCAGCGCGCAGAGCTGTCAATCAAATCTGCCACAACCCTTATATGGGCATAGTCGTTTTCCTTAATAGAATAAAATCCGATGAGTTATAAAAAAAATTCACCCCCCCACAGTGTGAGGAGAAGGGGCCGTCAACTTATCAGATATATCTCGATATATCTCTATCTTTGAACCATGCTGTAAACATGTTGATTCCTGTGGTAAAAACGGCTTTTCTGGCTGTGGGCTTATGGCACTTCCGGCGCTTCTGCAGCCATTCTCAAGCGGAACCTCGAGGAACTGCAGTTTTTTGTACTTCCACATAGGCAACATTTTTCGAGACCGGAGGTTGCCCCTTGACACACACACACACACACACCATTAAAATAGTGATCTTGACTTCCGGTCGGAACATCGTCATGATGGCCGCATAGGGAAGGAGCTCCCGACTGAACCAGAGTAATTAGAGTAATACTCCCATATAAACAGAGAAGAACATTCTAACTAAAAGCATGAAGCGAGGGAGTGAGATACCTACCAAGATACCGAGCAGTAAACGTCAGTAAAAAGCAGGGGTGGTGAAGGAGACGAGGCGCAACAACATAAGCTAATAGTGGCTAAGCTAACAAGCGCGAGGGATAAGCTAAGCAAGCTGCGGTTGGAGACATGGCCGACTTGGATCTGATTCTGCAAGAATTGAGAGGGTTTCGACAAGAGATAAAAGAAAAACTAGAGACAATTAAAGAAGAAATTATGAAAGTGAACACCAGAATGGATGAAGCGGAAGGTCGAATCGAGAAAGCAGAGGAGAGGATTCAAAACACAAAGAAATCCTGACAGAGATGCTAAAGCTACATGGGAGGCTAGAGGACAAACTAACGGACTTGGAGGGTCGCTCCATATGCGAGAATGTGAGAATTTACGGGGTTCCGGAGGGTGCGGAGAAAGAGTCTCCAACGATTGTCGCATTTGTGGAAGGTCTCCTCCGAGAGGGTCTCGGGTTATCCGATGACGCGCCCGACTTGCACATCGAAAGAGCACACCGTTCAGCGGGGCCACAGCCGCCAGAAGACACCCCGCCACGCTCCATCATAGCAAAGTTTTTAAGCTTCAAAACGAAGGAGAAACAGCTCCGCAAGGCCTGGCAAGGGAAGGGGTTCACCTGGCAAGATAACCGAATAAATCTGGACCACAACTATCCACCTATAATCCTCAAAAGGCGAAGAGAATACGCAGAGGTCCGCAAGGTACTGAAAGAAAACCAAGTTCAATTCCAGACCCTCTTCCCAGCCAGCCAGGTAAGATATAAAGACGGCACCAAAATCTACGATACCATAGAGGAGGCAACAGCAGACCTGTCGAGTAGAGGCTACACCGTCAATATCATCAAACCTCCGGAGACGTTGATGGAGCAGATACGGCGGCTGACCTGGAGGAAAGCGGGTAGGCGAGCGGGGAAAGGAGCATTTAACGCCGGGCGAGAATCAAGCTACAAGGAGAAGCTCCGAGCCTTCAGGAGATCTTCACCAGCACCTTCTGTGACCTAATGGATCTTATTCCTTTGGACCCACCACTTGTTGCGTTTTCTTTGTCCCTTTTCTATCTCTCTTTGAGTCCGGGCAGTTCAAGCCCGGGGACGGGTGAGTTGCTACACATCACTCCCTACAGTGATGATACTGTAAAATCGGTAGAAACTCATTAGACTTTTAAGAGGTTCGTGCGGGTTACACTTTTTTTCTTTTGCTGCTGCTGTCGCTGATAAGGGCCCCTTTTACCTGTCACAAGAGGAAGGTTTCCCCTCAGAGCCTCCTCTACGAGGCTCAGTAGGGTCAGGCTTATAGACCCCTATATTGGGAGTCATACTGCCAATTCATGTTGAGTTTAATGATATTTAGTGTGATGTTTGTTATTTACTCATTTGTTCACTCTCTGTTGGTTCTGTCTTTGAAGGGGGAGCTTACCAGGGACATGTGCGAGGTTGGCGGGGGAATTACCTAGATGCAGAATAGTTTGATAAAAATGGTTTCACTTAATATAAACGGTGTACTCAATCCAATCAAGAGGGGGAACATTTTGTCAAAACTAAAGAAAGAGAAAATCCAAATAGCGTACTTACAGGAAACTCACCTTGACAACTCTGAACATGCCAAATTGAATAAAATGGGATTTAAACATGTCTACTTTTCCTCCCATGGATTGGGGAGGCGGAGGCGATTTTGATATTAGGGGCTGCAAATTACGAACATATATCTGAATATAAAGATAACAACGGTAGATTTGTTATGATTACAGGTAAAATAGAAGGTACGATGGTGAGTCTCTTTAACGTGTATGTTCCTCCTGGTAGTGACTGGTCCTTCTATAAACACATATTTGAAATAATGACAACAAAAAGTCAAGGGATTTTAATATGTGGCGGGGACTTTAATATTCGACTAAACCCGTCAATGGACTCCTCAAGGGGAAAGTCTGAGGCTAAAAGTATTAGTAAAAGAATCAACACTTAGGGGCGCGCTGGTGGCGCAATGGTTAGGGCGCACGTCCCATGTATTGAGACTGTCATCTCAAGCAGGAGGCCCAGGTTCACCTCCACCTGTGGCCCCCTTCCACATGTCATTCCCCACTCTCACTCCCTGGTTTCTGACTCTATCCACTGTCCCATCTCTGTATTAAAGGCACAAAAAGCCCAAAAATCTATCTTTAAAAAAAATAAAAAAATCAACACTTTGATGAGTGAAGTGGGAATTGTGGACGTGTGGAGGGAAACAAATCCAACTGGTCGAGATTATACACATTACTCATCGGCTCATAATGTCTATTCTCATATAGACTATTTCTTTACTTTTAAAAAGAACTTCATAGATTAAATAATTGTGGAATAGGCCCTAGTACCCTTTCAGACCATAGTCCTGTATACGTGTCGGTTAATCTCAATAATAAGACTAGGTCTACTCTATGGAGGTTGAACTCAAACATTTTAAATAACCCAGTTATCAAAGATAAACTGAAAACTGAAATTAAATCCTACTTGGATCACAATGATAACGAAGAGGTGATGCCATCAGTACTCTGGGATGCTTTGAAGGCGGTGATTAGAGGCAAAATAATAGCTATCTCCTCATATGAAAAAAAAATTAGACGACAAAAGCTCAAGGACTTAGAGGACGAACTGAAGGAACTTCAAAAAGAACATTCAAAAACCCTCAAAGGTGAGACCAAGTCCAAAATAACAAAACTTAAAAAGAAATGGACGATATAAACACACATGAAATACAAAAAAAGCTTCTCTTTACAAAGCAACAATACTATGAGACCGGGGGCAAATCATTGAAGCTTTTATCGTACAAGTTACGAAAACAATAAGCAGATAGAACTATTCACAAAATAAGAAACCCTACAACAAGTAAAATAGAAACTAGTCCCGAGATGATCCAACAATGCTTTGAAAAATATTACAAAACACTCTACTCTCAGACACAATTGGATGACGAATATAAGATCAATGCTTTTTTATCGTCAATACACACACCAAAGGTCACGAGCAAGCAAAATGATAAATTAATATCCCACAGAACAAAAGAAAAAATACATTCGGCAATTGGGAGACTTAAGGGGGGGAAATCCTCAGGGACAGATGGTTACAGCCCGGATTGTTACAAAACAATGCAAGACCAATTAGCCCCGACACTATTAAAACATTTAACTGGGTGCTGGAGAAGAAATCTATCCCCCCCTCATGGAGAGAGGCGATTATTTCCATTATTCCTAAGGAGGGGAAGGATAAGTTGGAATGCGGGAACTATAGCCCCGTCAGTGTCCTAAATATTGACTATAAACTGTTCACCTCCATACTATCAAAAAGATTAGAAACGATCCTACCAGACCTAATACATAAGGACCAGACAGGTTTTATTAGGCAGAGGCAGACTCAAGATAACATCAGGAAAACACTGCACTTTATGAGACAAGTCACACAAGGAAGATTAAAGACGCTCATAATAAGCTTAGATGCAGAGAAAGCGTTTGATTCAGTGAGATGGTCTTTTCTGTATAAAGTACTAGCAAAATTTGGCTTACATACAACCATAATTGACACATTTGCAGCACCATATGTTAAACCAACCGCTAGAATCAAGATTAATGGCGATTTAACCAACTCATTCGTTCTGGAAAGGGGAACAAGACAAGGTTGCTGCGCATCGCCACTCCTCTTCGTCCTGTTCATAGAACCCCTGAGCCAGTGGATTAGGCAGAGGTCTGACATCATAGGGGTACCAATGTTATCTGGGGAGCAGAAATTAGCTCTTTTTACTGATGATTTATTGATAACTTTAACTCAACCCACACAGACACTTCCACTATTAATGGAAATGCTGAAGGAATATGGTTTACTTTCTGGGTACAAAATGAACATTAATAAAACCCAGGTATTAACACTAAATTATGACCCTCCAATTGGGATTAGGAATTTATATAAATGGAAATGGGAAGCAGATTACATCAAATATTTGGAAGTTGCATTGCAGAGGGACTTTTCCAAAATATTTGATTTTAATTAGGTCCTTTAAACTCTAGGCTAAAGTCAGACATACAAAGATGGAATGTTATTCCTTTTTAGAGCTTAAGTTCTAGGATTGATTTGGTCAGTATCAATGTTCTTCCACGAATGCTTTACCTTTTTCAGTGCCTACCAGTCAAAATACCTCCTAAACAGTTTTCAGAATGGGACAGGTTAATATCAATATATGGCAGGGGGAAAAGGCCAGGATTAAATATAAGACCCTTCAATTAAGAAAAGAAAAAGGTGGAATGGGTCTCCCCTGCCTACAATAATATTACTACTCAGCCCAGCTGAGACCGCTAGTTTGCTTATGTTCATCAACCTATACGGCAGGTTGGAAGGATGTAGAAGGCACAACGGTAAAAAACATACCAATAACAGCTCTATTAGCAGATAACAAATTACATGGCGAACTGTTGGTTTCAGATGATCCCATGCAGGACATTCTTCTGAAATCCTGGCAGGAAATAGTAAAAATTTGCGGAGTAGGAGAGTCATCTAAACTTCTTAGGTGGTGCGCTCACGATTCAGATTTTGCTCCAAATAAAAGTAATGGCAGATTTAATCAGTGGACATCAGAAGGTTTGTCTAAATCTAATCTTGTCTTTATCTAAATAAACATGGTTTAGGAAGGGACAATTTTTAGATACTTGCAGGTAAGGCATTACTTTAACCAAAACCTGAAGAAGGCTTTTGAAAAGGGGGAATCAGGGTCCCTGCAGATATTTCTATATCTTCTCAAGTCCAAATCTTGTAATAAAATCATCTCCAGATTATATAATGGCATCCTACAATCTAAACAAGAGAGCACAGAATACATAAAGAAGAAGTGGGAAAAAGAAGGCAATGTGCTGATTTCTGTGGAGAGCTGGGAAAAGATATGCCGGTTGCAGTGGATCTCAACAGGGTCGAACACGTGGCGTGAGTTCTGCTGGAAAAATGTTGTGAGATTTTTTTGTTACACCCGTTCAGAAAAGACATCAAGGGGGTGGTGATGCTTGTTGGAGACTTTGTGGGTTTAACGGAGCCGACCACTTCCACATATTCTGGAACTGTCAGGTTATTGAAAGTTATTGGAAACAAATTCATCAACATATTAGTAATGTGTTTAGCTTAAACATTCCTTTGAAGTGTGAAACTGTGTATCTGGGTGATATATTGTCTGAAAATTGTAGCATGAATGACATAAAATTGCTCAGCATACTATTGGCAGCAAGTAAAAAAGCCATAACGAGAAAATGGTTAAAAGTAGACCCACCCACCATCAAGGAATGGATGGAAATTATACATGGGATCTACGTCATGGAAAAGATAACATTCTCCCTCAGAGTACAACAAGAAAAGTTTCATATAATATGGTCTAAATGGACTGAGTATGTAAAACCTGTAAGATCGGACTTTAACTGATTTTATTTGTGAATTGTGAAAACCTACCCTCTACATCTTGTTTTTTCTTTTTGCTTGATTCAGAAACAGTAAGCTCCCCGGTTCTGTGGTTCACATGTAGCAGTAAATGAACAATTTACAATAAAAATTAAATTTTGGGAAAGCATTATGGACAAAGACACTCAGACTTTCCGCACCAGTCTTTCCCAAGTCTCTGCGGAATCGGGGAAAAACCATTCATAGCCATCACCATGGCAACATTTTAAAGGGGACTTTACACCTATAGACTTAAAGAACAACTTCTGCCTATGTTGGAACGATCTAAGCTGCTTCAACACCTTAAATGTAAGTAGAGCATTAACTCCGGGAAGGTAGAACTTTCCTTCAAACTAGGTGACAGAGCTGGTGCAACACGGTGCTGTGCTCGAGCCAAGCGGCAGCCTCCAGTGGTAAAAAAAGGCAATGTGAAGTGCAAAAAGAAGCATTTCCTGCTGCAAAGCCAAGGAATTCCTGCAAGGTCCCCTCATTCAAATTTTCATTTTTGTGGCAGAAATAAAAGTTTACCGACTGGTTCAAAAGTTGTTATGGTCTGAATAGCTCATTTCTTACTGGTACCAACTGTACAGGGGGTACTTTTATTATTTCTCATCTGTTCTGATATTATGCCTAAGAGTTTTTCATAACTTTGAATAATTGGGAGCATTGTTGAGGTGACTGACATGTCGGTGCCTTGTAGCTGTTTTCCAGGAGGCTTGAGGCCTGCATCGGCTCTACCTTTGTATCTAGATTGATTAACAGCCTTTCCAACATGGCGACCGCCATCAGTCAGCTTCAAGACACCTCTTCAGAAACCACGGGTTGACGTCAAGAAGACTACATCCTTGTTTTGTTCAAGCCATCACTTAAAACCTACAAAAAAATAAGAAGAATACAGGCACATGCTGCTTTGTGTCCATCGTCCTCTTCATGTCTATCGCTGTATGTCTCTCTTGAGCATTTCAGTGTTCATGACAACTTATATTTTCATACTTTGAGGTTTTTTATATTTATGTCAGAGATGTCAAAAAGAAACACCTGTGCATCAACAGTCATAGCTCGTTCTACAAGCCATGTCTGCCTTCATGATGCCTTTTAGGAAGTGAAGTTTTCCTTTAAGACGTCCCTGAGATATACTTCTGGGTCACAGGCAGGAGGATGGAGGAGACAAGAAAGTACAAAACAGAGACATGAAAGAAGCCCTGTGTGCTCCTGTCTGCATGTGAAATGTCACTGTGAACTCCTTTAATCATTTCATTTTGACTTGAAGAGTATCTATCAGATCTATGATCTCTGAAAAGTAGCCATTCTCCTCTCCAAGAATCATTTCAGACTGGACCATCTCCTGGTACTGGTCTCTGAGAGAAAGCAGCAAGCCCAGCAAGGAGCTGTCTGAGCGGTACTGATCCAAACACACCGGAGACATCGCCAACAAAGCCCGCAGAGCCTGAAAGAAACATGAGGAAATGTTCATATCATACGCTGCCTGATTTGGGCCAGTCTGCTATACATGTACAATGAATCAATGTCCGTCTACCTTCTCTCTGTAGTCGTGCTCAGTAGACTCCAGCAGCTGTGGGACCAGACCGCACCAGCCCTCCTCTAGCAGCTCTCCCTGCAGGGACACCTGAGAGTACTGACGCACCCGCTCGCTGTGAGCGGTGTCCAGCGCCAAGTCCAAACCTGCCTGCGAGATCATCTCCTGGAGAAACAACAGAGAGAAGAATCAGCATCATGTAGGAGGTAATAATCTGCAATACAAACCAGGGTCAGCAGTTACTGCATCTAAATTGAAGTACCCAACAGGGGAAGATAGCTGCCTTGAAGTTGCATGTTGATTTATAACTACTATTTGAAAGCCTTGACTTTGGCAGGAAGTGACCATTTTTAAATGATTGGATGCAGGCTGATAGGATTGAGAGGAGGAACGAGCGCTGGTTTGGTTGGCAGGAAGCATCTGTAATTCAATCAAACTGACATAATAATTGGGACACTTGTTAAAAAAAAGGGTTAAAGGGACACGAGAGGTTAGGTCGTGTCCTATGAAAAGAGGCTGTTGTCGTAGCCCACGTTCAAGTTTGACCTGCAGCTCCTTTCCAGCATGTTATTCCCCGAAATGTTCCCTTCAGACTGGAGTCATTTTAAGATGAAACAGTTCTTCAGGAGGACTCAGTCTTGTGATCATGTTTTAGTTTGTCTTATTGTATGATAGTTTGTATCCTGTACTGTTCTGTCTTTTATTGTTGTGCTTGTTTCGTACTTTTTATTTGTGTATCTGTGGTTGAGTTTTATGTATTTTTAAGCCCCATTTAGGGAAAGGTTGCAAATGATCTCAGGATATAAATCCTGTTGGTGTAAACTGTAACAGTTTACATGCTCCATACTTGTCCTGATACAAATAAACATGAAATAAATTAATTCAAAAAAGTTCTGCACCAGTAATACTTGCTTAAGGCTCATTTTCTTAAACCGTGTGATATTTTACGTCCTCGCTTAACTCAGAATACAGTTTGTGGTATGTAAACGACCCAGTAGTCTGTTGTTAGTGTGTATTTTAATTTTAATTTATTTCTAAAGGTTTTGTGATAACTTCCTGCTAGTTACATTGAAAAGACGGATGCTCTTATTTTGAAAAGAAAAGAACAGGAAGTGAAGGGAAAAGGAACGTCTGGGGACCAGTGAAACCTGCTTACATGTGTTCAAAATGTTAAATACTACGTTCATTTCTTTAATTAAGCACCCCACTGTTTGAGGCACGAGGTTTGTATTTATTTTATTTCACCTGCACATCGATAATAAGTTACTTTAAAGGTGCATTTTGTAGTTTTAGTTTTAGAATGTGTCTGTTCTATCAAAGATGCTGCATCTTGGAACTGTAATTCGATCAGGTTATAGTGTGTGCGTGTGCGTTGCGTGTGTGTACAGGTCAGGTGTGCATAAATAAGGTTTAATTTGATATATTGTGTAGGCAGGGTGCGATTTGTAAAATTAACAGAGGGGGGGATGTTTTTGAAACATTTTTATTCATGAAAAAAAATTATGAACAACAGTGGGCCAATAGACTTTGAATAGAATAATTATATTATAGAATTATTCTTGTTCTTCAATTGTTTTAATTAAGTTATTATTCTATATATACAATTTATATATATAGAATAGTAACTTAAAACAATTTCAGAACTTGAATTTAACCACTGCATTTGCAGGAATATTTTAATACATTTTTTAACATTTAATTCATCAAGTAGCGCTCTCTGTAAGACATCAGCTTTAATATAAGAAAAGTGCTTTGATAAATACTGTTTTTGTGAATTAAATGCTATAGAAGTTTGTGATCGGTCAAACCACCTGTCAATCTTAATGTCATGTTTACTAAATTAGCCAATGTAAAATTAGACCCGCCCACATTTCTCCGTCTCTGAGCTGAATCTCCGAGAGTACATCTCTTTGGAACGAGCCGGAGTGACGGTGGCTCCGTGGAGTTTACTTTACATGAAAGAAGTTGTTGAAATGATTTGTGTTTGGGGGGGCAGAGGCAGGGATATAAAGACCAGAGGGGGGAAATCCCACCCTGTGTGTAGGCATACACTATAGTAATGTTTCTTTATCACTCTCTTTTAGTTAATGTCTTACTCAAAACTAAATGTAAAGGAACTAAAGTCTGAAACATGAGTTTGAGAGCCAGGCCATCTGTAACAGCCTGGGGAATGCTACATGCTAATTGTTTGTTGTACCTTCTCGCTGATCATGTCGTACAACATGGTGACAATTCGTGTGCGCAGAACTCCACCTCTGTCTGCCCTGAAGAGCTCTGATAGGACCTGCAGCCCTCCATGTGAGAGGAAGTGACGCTGCGCATACGGGAAGTGGCGTAAGAGGGAGGCCACTGCAAACAGAACCTGAGTGGACAGAACACATAACACATTTGTTCTCACCCCCAGTATGACGAGAACTTGTAATATGAGGACGTGAAATCACCTTTTTTTTTACATGAATTGGTTGTGCTGTGGCCAGTGTGGTCAACAGCGTCTGAAGGGCACCGTTCTCCACGGCCTTCACCTGAACCGTTGGGTTACTGCAGAAAGAGAACACAGGTGTTAAGAGAGGTTTGATGTAGTGTAGTCTTGAATGGTATTTAAAACATGTTGCTGTTTGTGCCTGGACAGAGCAGATCCCAGGACGAAGGCAGAGCTCTCCTGTAATCTGAAGTCAGAGCTGTTTAGACCCTGCAGCATCAACTGGAGACCCCCCATGGAGCACAGAACCTGAGCGTTATCCACCTAACACACACACACATATATATGATGAGAATGAGAAACATGTAACTGCAGGCTGTGATCCTCAAGGTCTGTTTTATGTGTCTGAACTGATGTGTGTGTTGTATTACCTGATGCACCAGATACTCCAGCTCCTGCAGGATGGTCAGCCGCTGCTCTGTGGTCGAGTTGCTGCTGTTAAACTGCTCCAGCAGGCGCTTCATTATCTACAACACAACACACTCCATTGAACTCAACCACACAATTCAATTCAGTGATGTTACAGATTCACTCGCGACGGCACGAGATAATACGATGCATGTGGCATAAAACTCAATACAAACCTTATAAACACTGAAACGGTCATTTTTCTGAACCGTCAAAACGGAGAGTTCGATTCTGAAAATAAACCGGATGTTTTAATGTTGTATCGGTGTCTGACTTCCCGTCCCGTTTGTTCTTTTCTCTGCTAAATTGATGCGTTGAGCTCCGGCCGGCTCCGGCACGGTTGCACCGTAGGCTAATCCCGTTATGTGTGGTGGTAGATCAGCCTCCACCTGCTTCCAGTTTGACCACTTTGCCAGTTACGTCTCTGTTACTACCTCCAATACGGTAAGCAGTTCATGGACAACTTTGTCCCACCTTCAGCCTCTGTGACGTTTATACTGACAGTGGGACCAGAAAGTGGTATCGAAGCCCAGCCTTAAACTGACAATGTTAAAAATGCTCTATACATGCTGACATACCTGACCATCGGTCTCCACAAGCAGCTCCAGCTGAGCCATGTCTTTCTTTAACTCCTCCAGGGTACGATACTTCGATGCCACAGAGTCCTACAGATGAACAACAAGCAGAGGAAACACGAACACAGTTTCATTTGATCAGTGGGATCACAAACTTATTGTACTCTGGTACACAGTTAGCAGGATGGCTTCAGCCTGCAAGTAGTTGCCATGGTTGCTACTTCATCTTTCTGCTTCTTTGTAGATTTGCAATCCAACTGCATACTGCCACCTGCTGTATTGGACTGTGTAAACGCAAATACAGTGGAGGGAATCATTATTTGATCCTCTGCTGATTTTGTAAGTTTGACTGATTACAAAGGAGTGAGCAGTCTATCATTTTTATGGTACCTTTATTTTAACAGAGACATAATATTTAAAAAGTCCAGAAAAACAACACTGTATAAAGTTCTAAATTAATTTGCATTTGATTGAAGGAAATGAGTATTTCATCCTCTACAAACCAGCATGAATTCTGGCTCCCGCCTGGGAGGCTCTCAGATTAGTCCTGTCACTTTAAGAAAGTAGTCCTAATCACTGCTTATAAAGTATTTAAGCAGTGTAGTAGTTATGAGTATAAAAGACACATGTCAACAGAATCAATCTCTTCCTTTCCAACCACTCCACCACCATGGGTAAGACCAAAGAACTTTCAAAGGACATGAGGGACAAGATTGTAGACCTGCACAAGGCTGGACTGGGCTACAAGACCATCAGCAAGAAGCTTGGTGAGAAGGAGAAACTGTTGGTGCAATTATAAGAAAATGGAAGAAATTTAAAATAACCATCAATCGCCCTTGCCAATGAACACCTAAATGATTCGGAGAAGGCTTGGGAGAAGGTGATGTGGTCAGATGAGACCAAATTCAACTCTTTGGCATAAACTGGAGTGACTGACTGGCTGGCGGCGCGACCGGTCGCAGCGGCCCCTCTCTCTCCCGACAGAGCGGTGTTTTCTTTTCTAACTTTTCTTTTGACTTTTCTCCGTGTTTTACTATGGAAAAACACAATTACAGCCGTCTATTTTTACTGGACTTAAACAGTAACAGCCTTTCTGTGGAGTTATTACCCAAATCACTGAGACAACAGCTTCAAACTTTGGGACTGCTTCGCAAGCCGGTTTACCCCCCGGAGAGGAGACGTAAATGTAAACGGTGCGAGCGGAAACAAAAGCGAGGTAAACGTGGAGGCATAAGAGACAGGCTAAAATACCACACAGGTCCGCTCTTCCAACTCTTCTACTGGCAAATGTAAGATCTCTGGACAATAAAATGGACCATATAGAGCTACTGAGAGCTGCGCACCGTGACGTGAGGGACGGCTGTGCGTAAATTTTCACAGAGACATGGCTGAACGAACGCATCCCAGACTCCGCCGTTAAGCTTGAACAATTCACATGCTACCGTTCGGACAGAATCCTTATTAAAGGAGGAAAGAAGAAAGGTGGTGGAGTCTGTGTTTACATCAGTGATGCTTGGTGTCGAGATGCTGCTGTGGTATGTAAACACTGTTCACCGCTGACGGAGTTTATGATCGTAAAGTGCCGTCCTTTCTATCAACCTTGCTGGTCGCTGTGTATATTCCCCCCACCACCAACAATGCTGATAGAATCGACGCACTTTGGGAACTTTACAACGCCATCAGTGAGCAACAGACAGCCCACCCAGACGGATTTTTCATCATCGCTGAGGATTTTAACCATGCAAAGACTGTTTTACCCCACTTCCACCAACATGTGACCTTTCCCACAAGAGAAGGTAACATTCTGGACATGATTTACACATCAGTTAAAGGTGCTAACAAAGCTTCACCCCTCCCCCACATCGGCCACTCTGACCATATCAGTGTAATGCTAATGCCAGCTTAGAGACCCAGGGTTAAAGTCACCAAACCAGTTCTGAAGCAGGTATGTGTGTGGCCAGAGGGGGCCTCTGCTGCACTACAAGACTGCTTTGATACCACAGACTGGGAGATGTTTAAGCAGGCAGCCACCTACAACAACCGCACAGACATTGAGGAGTATTCTGACACTGTTACCTCCTACATTAGCAAATGCATTGCTTATATCACCACTACCAGAACCATTACCACCCGTGCTAACCAGAAGCCATGGCTGACAGGAGAGGTACGCAGGCTACTGAGGGCCAGGAACACCGCCTTCAGAGCTGGGGACGCAGCCTGCCTGAGAACAGCAAGGGCCAACCTGTCCCATGGCATCAGGAAAGCCAAACGCAGCTACACACTAAAAATAACCGGACACTTCAAGGACAGCAGAGACGCGCAGAGCCTGTGGCGTGGTATCCAGACCATCATGGACTACAAACCCAAGCCACAGACCTGTGACAGCAACACGTCTCTACTGAACGACCTTAACAGCTTCTTTGCCAGGTTTGAAGGACACAACAGCACGCCCCCACAGAAGACCACCCCCCCTCCCCACGACCAGACCCTGTGCCTGACTGCAGCCAGCGTGAAGAGAACCTTCTCCAAGATCAACACCCGCAAGGCTGCAGGTCCAGACAACATTCCTGGCCGTGTGCTGAAGGACTGTGCAGAGGAGCTCAAAGATGTCTTCACGGACATTTTCAACACTTCTCTGAGTCAGGCTGTTGTTCCGTCGTGCTTCAAAGCCACCACCATCATACCCGTTCCAAAGAAGCCCTCACCATCCACTTTCAATGACTATCGACCCGTTGCACTGACCCCCAGCGCCATGAAGTGCTTTGAAAGGTTAGTCATGGCCCACATCAAATCCACCCTCCCTGCCACCCTGGACCCCTACCAGTTTGCATACCGAGGTAACAGATCCACCAAGGATGCCATCTGTTCTGCTCTTCACCCAGCCCTCACCCACCTGGACACCAAAAACTCATACGTCAGAATGCTGTTCATAGACTTCAGTTCAGCATTCAACACCATCATCCCTCAGCAGCTGAACGGCCAGCTGGACTAGCTGGGGCTCAGCACTTCCCTGTGCAACTGGCTGCTGGACTTCCTCAGCGAGAGGCCTCAGACAGTGCGGGTCGGCGGCAGCACATCAAAAACCACCGTCATGAGCACTGGGGCCCCCCAGGGTTGTGTGCTCAGCCCCCTGCTCTTCACGCTGCTGACCCACAACTGCGCTCCATCCTTCAGCAGCAACCACATTGTGAAGTTCGCGGACAACACAACAGTGGTTGGTCTCATCTCCAACAACGATGAGACGCACTACAGGATGGAGGTCAGCCAACTGGCCATGTGGTGCAGAGACAGGGTTTAGGAGTGGGGACTCTCCGGAAGTCGACAACAACCTCCTTGGTCTTGTCGACGTTCAGGAAGAGGTTGTTGTCGACTTCCGGAGAGTCCCCACTCCTAAACCCCCACTGACCATCGACGGTGCTGCTGTGGAGAGAGTGAGCAGCACCAAGTTCCTGGGGTTCACATCAGTGAGGATCTCTCCTGGACAACCAACACCACATCACTGGCCAAGAAGTCCCAGCAGCGCCTCTACTTCCTCCGCAAGCTGAAGAGAGCACAAGCACCCCCATCCATCATGTGCTCCTTCTACAGAGGCACCATCGAGAGCATACTGACCAGCTGCATCACTGTGTGGCTTGGGAGCTGCACTGCTGCCAACTGCAAGACCCTGCAGCGCACAGTGAAGGCTGCTGAATGGATTATCGGTGTCCCACTCCCCTCTCTTCTGGACCTCTACGATACCCGCCTCACCCGCAAAGCAACCAGCATTGTGCGTGACCCCACCCACCCCTCACACAGCCTCTTCAGCCTCCTGCCATCGGGGAGACGGTACCTCTCTTCCTTCCCTCCCCTCTGCCCCCACGAACGCTGGACGTTGAAACCCCCTCCAGTTTGCCACCAAGAACTCTGGACTAATAACTCTGAAGCTAACATCTCAAAAGTACAATCAGTTTACTGCACATTGCACATACTGCACAAGATCTCATATATAAGTGAGATTGCTCACTTATATATGAGATCATTTTAAATACTGCTATTCAAGGTTATAGAAACTCTGACAAAGTTATTCAACCTGCCCTGAGATCAGTGGTGTTAATGATTTAATGGATTAATGCATCGATGCAGAGACAGGACGTAATCGATGCTGAAGAGGATTGGAAAAAAAGCATCTGCTAACTGCTAAGCGGTTGTTTTGCATAGCGTTGAGGTTTTTTTTAACTATCGTCAGGTAAACAGAGGGATTGTTTTAATCTGAAAACATTTATATCAGGAAGTTGAGTGTTTACAGTAGTAGCAACTTAACAAAACTCATTTGAAATAAAAAGGACAGAGACAAAACTAACCCTGAACAAAGCTCACAGTTAATTCTACAATAAACTCAGCAGACGCTTTTATCCAAAGCGACGTACATCAGAGAGTTAAGTACAACACAAGCAATGATTTAGAAAAAAGGAAATGATGTCAGTAAGAGCAAACTATCAGCTTTCAGTGGCCAAAGGAAGCCAGGCCTCCCCAATACAATATTGAAAAAAAAAAAATTATCCCCACTTCTGTCTATTTTACTGAGTTTTTGTCATTTAAACACTCAACAGTCCTTCAACATAAACCTCTACTCTGGTTAAACGTAAGGAGGGAAACAGCGCCCTGGCTGCAGCAGCAGCGTGCTTACTGTATTACACTGTTCACTTTATGCACTCTGCATTGTCCGGCGGTTAGTGAAGTGCCATTGAACTCTGGAGCAGACAGCTTCCACCTGGGCCTTCCACACTAGTTTATGGTCTGTGTGGATGCCGAGATATATTTGTAGGACTCAAACTGTGTTATGGTGTGATCATGGATGGCCACTGGTGAGTGGTCACCAAGAGACCCAGGGTCCAACATCATCTACAATTATACAATTCACTTAGCAGACGTTTTTATCCAAAGCGACGTACATCAGAGAGTAAGTACAACACAAGCAAGGATCTAGAAAAAAGGAAACAGTAAGAGCAAACGATCAGCTTTGAGTCTGATTGGACACACAGGTGCTGACAGGAAGTGACCAGAGGCAAAGCACAACATTGAGGGCAGTTCTTGAGAGCTCTAATCAGTATAGAAACCATCTTATAAGTCATCGTTATCAAACAAAAACCATCGTCATTACCATCATCATCATCATCAATAATATGGAGACCATCATCATTAAGTTAGTAGGTATTCATGAAAGAGCTGGGTCTTTAGCTTTTTCTTAAAGGTGCAGAGGGACTCTGCAGATCAAATGGAGTTTGGAAGTTCGTTCCACCATCGGGGGGCAACAGAGGAGAAGAGTCTAGTCAGAGACTTAGGACCCTGTTGTGAAGGTTGGATCAGACACCTCTCATTGGCAGAGCGTAGTGGGCGGGAGGCGGTAGACCTGGTTGAGAGAGTTAAAGTAAGGAGGAGCCGTTTTTGTCGCTGTTTTGTAAGCGAGCAGGAGAGTTTTAAATTTGATGCGAGCAGTAACTGGGAGCCAGTGTAAGGAGATGAACAGCGGAGTGATATGTGCTCTTTTAGGAAGGTTGAAGACCAGTCGCGCTGCTGCATTTTGTATCATTTGCAGAGGTTTGATAGTGCATGTAGGAAGACCTGCCAGTAGAGAGTTGCAATAATCGATGCGTGATATCACAAGAGCCTGTACCAGGAGCTGTGTAGCATGACACCCAGACTTTGTGGCCATGAGTTTGGTTGTTCCAAGCTGGATATTGATCTGTGGTTGCATAGAGGGACTGGCTGGGATGACAAGGAGCTCAGTCTTTGAAAGGTTGAGTTGAAGGTGCCGTTCATTCATCCATTTAGAGATATCAGCAAGGCATGACGAGATTCTTGCAGAGTAACATCGTCTGGCGGGAATGACAGGAAGAGCTGGGTATCGTCAGTATCTCCTTTGTTTTAAGGAGGAGATGGTGTTCATCACACCACTGCACAAAGTTTCTGATTGTTGATGTATATGTGTGAATGTCCGGGTCGGTTTGCGTAAGGCCCAGGATGGCCGTGTCATCAGAAAATTTAACAACATGTACATTTCCACTGTTGCTGGTGCACTGATTTGTGTAGAGAGTGGACAGAACTGGTGAGCTAACACACCCCTGGGGCGCACCGCTGCTGATGGTTGTGAGCTCTGACACAGGTCTGTTCACTCTGACTTGCTGGGTGCGGTTAGTGAGAAATGAATGATAATATTTCATGATGAATGGATTGACCCTAAGCTGATTTACTAAGCTATCAATGCAAGAGTACTAAATGGACAATGCGTGGTGTTTTGCTCATATGAAAGACGCAGTCCTCACTGCATGCCGTTAGTAGATCAGATAGATTTTTTTTTGCGGGTGGTATCACGCTTGAACACATTTTAATACACACCTTTAGTAAATCAGGCCCAAAGAGTGTTAAGTAGTATGTGAGACTACTAAAATATTCCTTTTTGATGAAGCTTACAGTTAGTGCATACATTGAAGGCTGATTGGACTGACAGGTGGACGTGACAGACTATGGGCATGAATGAAAAGGATTAAGGGGGAGGGGCTGCTACCTCCTGCTCTGTGTCTCTGCTCGAAGCCTTCATCTCGTCCTTTATCTTCTTCATGGCCTGTTTGAGCTCGTCAGGACCGAGAGAGGACCGGGGCTCCTCCTGCTCCCTGCAGAGACAAACTGTCATGAGTGATACATCAGTTCAATAAACACGACTGTCACTGAATGTTTAAGAGAGGGTTTAGACTAGTTATCTTCAACCTGTGCTCCTCTGTGTCCAGTATTTCAGTTGCTCCTCTCCCAGTCTAACCTCCCTCTGACCCGTCTGCAGGTTCAGCCGCACATGTGAACCTGCTGGCACTGCCGCACCTACACACACACACACACACACACACACACACACACACACACACACACACACACACACACACACACACACACACACACACACACACACACACACACACACACACACACACACACACACACACACACACACACACACACACACACACACACACACACACACACACACACACACACACACACACACACACACACACACTCTCTTTAAGTCTGAAGTAAAAATGTGTTTTTATAAAAATGAGTACACTTGCACTACTTCACCTTGTTTGAGTGTTTGCCACTCGTCAGTGGGTTGGACCACTTCTAAATCTCCTTCTCCCTCCTCTTCATCAACTGTCACCTCCTCCTCTTCATCACCACCTCCATCTGTATTTTCCACCACAGCTACGGCCGAGTCAGACTGCACGGACATACAAAATGATACATTTCAAATAATAAATCAACATTTCATCTTTGTAAGAAGAGCAACTTTATGTTTTATGAAACACATTTTAATTATATAATATTTTATACAGCTCATTTGGACATCCATCCCAGGAAATACAGATCCTTTTTACAGATAGAATATGGAGACTCCTCCATCAGGGTGCTTTCAATCAACACTACAATAACAAAGGATGACATCAAGGCTGGCGGGGTTCTTTCTGCTACTACTTAACCCTGATTTGCTCCCACTGCTTGAGCAGCGGCGTGTGAATGTGTATGAATGGATGAGTTAATACTGATGGACTCTTTACACAGCAGCCTCTACCATCGGTGTGTGAATGTGTATGAATGGATGAGTTAATACTGATGGACTCTTTACTCAGCAGCCTCTACCATCAGTTTGTGAATGTGTATGAATGGATGCGTTAATACTGATGGTCTCTTTACACAGCAGCCTCTGCCATCAGTGTGTGAATGTGTATGAATGGATGCGTTAATACTGATGGTCTCTTTACACAGCAGCCTCTACCACCAGTGTGTAAATGTGTATGAATGGATGCGTTAATACTGATGAACTCTTGACTCAGCAGCCTCTACCATCAGTTTGAGTGTGTATGAATGGATGAATTTTTCTTCTTTTGAAAGCCTTCTTCTTAGTTTTTCACATCCAGTCTCAAGAACCTTTCAGCCAGTTCTAGTTGTTGTAGTTTACCGTCCTCCTGGCCCATATTCTGAGTTTCTATCTGAATTTGCAGAATTTTTATCAGATTTAGTCCTTAGCAGTGATAGAATAATTGTTGTAGGTGACTTCAATATCTATGTGGATGTTGATAATGATAGCCTTAGCACAGCTTTCATGTCACTATTAGACTCTATTGGTTTCACCCAGGTGGTAAACGAACCTACTCATCGTTTCAACCACACCCTGGATCTTGTTTTAGCTTATGGCATTGAAATCCATAACCTTACAGTTTTCCTAGAAAATCCTCTTCTATCAGACCATTTTCTTATTACATTCGACTTTGTCCTGCCAGAGTTACATCTGCTTGGAAGAGGTGTGCTCTCTAGAAGTTTGTCAGATAGTGCTGTGGCTAGATTTAAGGAAGCTATTTCAGCTGTTTTTGATTCAGTACCGTGTTTCAACCCAGTTGGAAACTCTTATGATAGCTTTAGTTCCTCTCAGCTAGACCAGTTTGTTGATGGTGCAGTGGATTCGCCGAGAGTTCCTCTTGATTCAATTGCTCCCCTGGAACGGAGGGTTGTCAAGCGGCGGAGAGTGGCTCCATGGTTCAACTCAGAAACCCGTACTCTAAAACAATCGTCGCGGAATTTTGAAAGAATATGGCGCTCGACCAAAACGGTAGAATCTTGTTTTTTCTGGCAGGATAGTCATAGAAGATATATGAAGGCTCTACGTCACGCTCGAGCTGCCTACTACTCCTCTCTAATCGAGGAAAACAAAGGCAATCCTAGATACCTTTTCAGCACTGTAGCCAGGCTGACAGAGAGTCATGACTCCATTGAGCCTTGTATTCCTCTAGCCCTCAGCAGTAATGACTTCCTGAGCTTTTTCAACAACAAAATTCTAGACATCAGAGACAAAATTGGTAACCTCCTGCCCTTACCTGGTGCGTATACGTCTGATACGGCAGAGACAGTTCCAGGACCAGATATTAGTCTCGACTGTTTTTCTCCAATCGACCTTTCAGAGCTATATTCCATTTTTTCTGCGTCGAAACTGTCAACCTGTCTTTTAGACCCAATCCCAACCAAGCTGTTTAAGGAAGTCTTTCCCTTAGTTAGCAACGCTATATTAGTTATGATCAATTCGTCTTTACTGGCAGGCTATGTACCACAGGCACTTAAAGTAGCGGTAATCAAACCTCTACTTAAAAAGCCTACTCTGGATTCAGGAACTCTGGCTAACTATAGGCCTATATCCAACCTTCCTTTTATCTCGAAGATCCTGGAGAAGGTGGTAGCTAATCAGCTGTGTGACTTTCTCCATGACAACAGTTTATTTGAGGAGTTTCAGTCAGGATTTAGAGTCCACCATAGCACTGAGACTGCACTAGTTAAAGTTACAAACGATCTACTTCTAGCTTCAGACAGGGGACTTCTCTCTGTGCTCGTCTTGTTAGATCTTAGTGCTGCTTTTGACACCATTGACCATCGGATCGTGTTGTACAGACTGGAGCATTTGCTTGGAATTACAGGGACTGCTTTAAGTTGGTTGAATCCTACTTATCAGACCGATCTCAGTTTGTACATGTTAATGATGAGTCCTCTATGCACACTAAAGTTTGCCATGGAGTCCCACAAGGTTCAGTGCTTGGACCAATTCTCTTTACATTATATATGCTTCCTCTGGGAAATATTATGAGGAAACACTCCATACAGTTTCATTGTTATGCAGATGATACTCAGCTCTATGTATCAATGAAGCCCAATGGCACCAGTCAGTTATGTCAGCTAGAAACGTGCCTTAAGGACGTTAGGACGTTAGCTACTTAACTCAGACAAGACTGAAGTTATTGTGCTAGGCCCTAAGAACCTCAGAGAGACTTTTTCTAGTGATTTGACTGTCCTTAGTGACATCAGCTTGGCATCTAGCACCACTGTTAGGAATCTAGGAGTTCTATTTGATCAAGATATGTCTTTTAGCTCTCACATCAGGCAAGTTTCAAGAACAGCCTATTTTCACCTTCGTAATATATCCAAGATCAGGAATATCCTGTCGCAAAATGATGCAGAAAAACTAGTTCATGCATTTGTTACCTCCAGATTGGATGATAACTCTCTTTTGTCAGGGTGCTCTGGCAAGTCTCTAAAGACTCTTCAACTGGTCCAGAACGCTGCAGCTCGTGTACTGACCAGAACCAGGAAAAGGGACCACATTACTCCTGTCTTGGCTTCTCTGCACTGGCTCCCTATACAGTCTCGAATAGAATTCAAGATCCTTCTTCTCACTTACAAAGCTCTAAATGGCCAGGCACCATCTTATCTTAAGGAGCTACTAGTGCCGTACTGTCCCTCGAGAGCGTTGCAGTCCCGGGTGCAGGCCTGCTGGTGGTACTATGGGGGTAAAGCCTTCAGTTATCGGGCTCCTCTCCTCTGGAACCGCCTTCCAGCCGGGGTCCGGGAGGCAGACACAGTCTGTATTTTTAAGAATAGACTTAAAACTTTCCTTTTTGATAAATCTTATAGTTAGTGCAGCTATAGGCTTGGACTCTCTCTCCAAGCTACAGTCTCTCTCTCTCTCTCTCTCTCTCTCTCTCTCTCTCTCTCTCTCTCTCTCTCTCTCTCTCTCTCTCTCTCTCTCTCTCTCTCTCTCTCTCTCTCTCTCTCTCTCTCTCTCTCTCTCTCTCTCTCTCTCTCTCTCTCTCTCTCTCTCTCTCTCTCTCTCTCTCTCTCTCTCTCTCTCTCTCGTTGGTTGACGGCCTGCCAGAACAACAATAAGGCAGTTTTTTCTTACCACTGTAACTTTTGCTCATGATGGATAGGCCGGGTCTTTGTAATATAGCAATAAGTAAGGTCTTTTACCTGCTTTTTGTAACATAACAATGAGTAAGGTCTTTTTACCTGCTCTTTCATAATGTTAACAGACAAAGAGTAAGGTATTTTACCTGCTTTTTGTAAAGTGTCTTGAGATAACACTTGTTATGAGTTGACGCTATACAAAAAAAAATGAATTGAATTGAATGAGTTAATACTGATGGACTCTTTACTCAGAAGCCTCTACCATCAGTGTGTGAATGTGTATGAATGGGTCAGTTAATACTGAGGGGCTCTTTACACAGCGGCCTCTACCATCAGTGTGTGAATGTGTATGAATGGATGAGTGAATACTGATGGACTCTGTACACAGCAGCCTCTACCACCAGTGTGTGAATGCTTATGAATGGATGAGTTAATACTGATGGACTCTTTACTCAGCAGCCTCTACCATCAGTGTGTGCATGTTTATGAATGGATGAGTAAATACTGATGGACTCTTTACTCAGCAGCCTCTACCATCAGTGTGTGAATGTGTAGGTGTGACCTGTGGTGTAAAAGCGCTTGGAGTAGTCAGAAGACTAGAAAAGAAATATACAAGCTCAGGTCTATTTAGTATTTACATGACGTTTTTATCACAGCAGCACATACAGCAATAGTACGACAGCTTTCAGGAGCAGCTCACACTTCCTCAGGGCGCTGACACACCAAGCAGACGGCAAAGAACTAATGATGACGAAGGCCGCCTGTGGCGTCACCTTGTGTAGCAGCCCCACTCTGACAACTCTCCACTGATGCATGTCCAGTAGTAGGTACAGTCTACTGACTACTGCCTACTGAAAGATTGCGTCTGTACTTGGCAATTCAGATACAGCCAGTGAGTACAGTATGTTATTCTTCTTTTCTCTAGTCCCTCAATTAAACAATTTTTATATGTGAGGGGAGGAGTCAGCCGGCCGTCCCGGCGATGTAAACAAACTGAAGATAGGACTCTGAAAACATCACAGACAGTGGGACTCGGGGTGTTACACCCATTGTAGACAGTCATGACTCAGAGTTATTTTCAGAGGATATACTTGATTTCTATTACATTTAAGGGTAAAAAATCACATATTAAGTCTTTAAATAAACTTTAAAATAAAATAGAAATATATAGTTAGTTTTGAGACTGGGATTGTCTAACCTCCCTTGCAATGATCTTAGATTTGAACATAAAACTTAAAAATGTCAGAGGCCCTGATTTCATTAATGTTCTAATCCATTCACACATGTTCCGTCTTCCTTACATGCTCACCTTTTGACCCAAAATCTGACCTATGTGGCAGATCAGCAGCAGCAGGAGGACGGTGAAGGTGAAGCAGCTGAATGAAACACATCTGTCACTACAGGAGAGCTGCAGCCTCATGGTGCCTGAAACACAGGAGAGGGAGTGATACAACAACAACACTGTCCTTACATACTGAAGTCCCACTGTTATGAGGACCCACAATAAGGCGTGTAGCTGACCTGATTGACAGGTGGGCGCGGTGTAACGATTTGTTGGGAGGTTTAAACCCGCCTCAGCTTCAGCTCCAGCTCTCAGCCTGTCGTTAGATTGACTGAAAGTTAGACTCGGGGTGCGTTCGAATTGTCCCTCCTATCTCCTTTCACTATCCACTTTACCTTAACCCTGTTAAGGTAAAGTGGATAGTGAAAGGAGATAGGAGGGACAATACGAACGCACCCTGAGACAGCATTTCCAACATCGAGTTCACCTAACTACTGATTCAGAGAAGAGGTTTTTTTGAACAGAGGAAGTTTCCTGTTGGACAAACTCTGAATTGTTTTCATTGACAAACTGAAGAGAAAATGTCTAAGAAGTCATAAAACAAATATTGGTATTGGAATCGACAATCGGCTAAAGTGTTATTTTAAACCCTGATATACCCACTCAGTGCCTCTCTAGTTGTGTTGTCAGTTTTCAGACACTTTATGTAAATGAAGTGATGATTAGATTGTGTTATCTACAGTGGTGTAGTGGTGCCTGAAGAAGTGATATACCCTCCCCCATGTTTATTTTAAGCTGCTGATCCAGCTGAGGATAAACAACCTGTTGTAAATAGTCACATGTAAAACTACTTTTGCATATTTAGTTTGAATGACTAGCCAGTCATTAGGCAGTAGGCAGGGTCATCCCTTCATAACTGTCCACATTGTGAAAGACGTTTGTTTCGTGATATCGCTTCTTTCATTTCACACTAAAGCTAGCCAAAATGACGGCAGCTGCTCTTATCGAGTTAGCAAACATCGTCATTATTTATCTTCGTCAAAGACTCACCTGTTTCGGTCAAATTAAAGGATGCGATCCAGGTAAAAATATCGGGTGTGTAATGTGTCTTGTTCAAACGACTGAAAGCTGCTGTGACTCTGATTGGTCCACGTCATTCACCTTCTTCTACTGTGTACAAGTTAACTGTCCGACAGCTGAAGTGTTCATTACCGCCACCTGCTGGTACGGAGTTTGAACAACAGAAAGTAGCTATCATGCGGTCAAAGTTTCCCCCCGTTATACACACACAAAGAATGGTCCTATGCACACAGTTCCTGATGATCTTAAGGCATTATGGGACATGCCCAAATGATACCTTCAATAGCAACCCAAGCCAAACAGCTGACTGACACAAATTCACACACATTACTTATATTTGTAAAGTGAATGATCCGTGGCTCATGTGCCGGCTGGTCATCCGTCGAGAGCATCCATGACATTAAAAGTTGGCCCTATTTGCTGTTTAATAGTCAGCACTATGGTACGTGGGGTCTGGGGTGGCTCCCCCCAAAAAATGTAAAGCAGCATACATTTCTGTTCCTGCATTCTGGTCAGTTGCTATTCACCAGTTTGTGTCTTTTCTGCAGAACTTTGTGGTTCTTATCTACTCTTTTTGTCCCTTTTGTGTTGTATACACAATAATGAATGTATTCATTGAATACTTTTATAAAAATGTGGACTGGACAGTTGTTTCTGCACTTTTCCAGCCCTGCAAAGTTTCTTGCTAATACAAGGAGCCTTAGCTGATATATCAGTTAGTAAGACATTTTTTTTTTGTGTGTATGAACTTGAGAATGACAAAAAAGCTGAAAATTTACATGATCCAGTTGTGATTAATTTTCTCTGACACATGGTCATACAGTAACCTCGTTATATCGGGTGGTTGTTTTTGTTTTAAGGGGATTGGTAAAAAATGTTGCTGTCTTGTTTAAAAAAAAAGTTCCAGACCTCTGTGTCCTCATAGCTGGTTACGGCCATACTTAAATATAATTCCAGTTCATCACAGTTTTTGCAACTGAACACAAATGGCATCATTTAGTACACTGTGAGAAACACTGCCCTGTAAAATGCAAAACCCGGATTACCACTCATGTTGCTCCTGTGCAAACTCAATTAAAAGAACAGTCACCCATCAGAGCATGCAAGAAGCCTCAGGTGATTTATACATGTGCACAGTGATCTGTTTCATTGCGATCTGTAGCCTATAATTTGTTGTCAGTTCAGCTGAACTCTACAATGTAGAGTATTAGGGACACATTAAAGGAAAAACAACAACAACAACTAAAATTTACGATTTTAAACCACAGAAGGGAAATATTAAATACTAAATATTTAAGACATACATTTATGAGATTATAGTCTCAAATTTACGGCTTTAATCTCGAATCTTGTTTTTTGAGTGGCCCTAATATGCCGTCGTAAAAAAGGCCCCTCACAAGAGCGTTATCATCGATGCTTTTATTCCGAAAATTCATCCCGGTAGTACAGTCATGAACGGAAGTACGTTTGAGGCAAGGACTAGCAGACACAGAGAAGGATATTAATGTGTAATTTGAACTAAATAAACTTCGTAAATGTAATAGTTTTTGTCATGCCAGAGATAAAACTTTCTCACGGCGTTTGGAGCTAACATCTGGATGTTTAAAAAAAACAACTGACAGCAGGTAAGAGGTTAGCTAAAGAGTTTGTTTACATTTGTTAGCATTTAGCTAACATCATAACAAATGATCATTTAACTAATGATCGAGTTGTGTATATTCTATAGTGTATTTTCTTACAGTTGTATTCATTGTGGATTATTCGTGTAGTTATCTGAATAGTAAATGAATGTTGATTATTTTAGTATACACTAGTTGATGTTTCAAAGAAGGCTGTGTGGCTGTTAATCTGAATCTTATTTTATTTTTGTATGCAGGCTAGTTAATGTGATTGGATAAAAAAGTCGGATATATTTAGAAATATTCAAATTGTGCTTCACACAAGAAGTCAAAACAACACCACTAAATCATTAAAAAACCTTACAATTCAAAGAATAAAACACAGGTCAAACAGGAGTTCAGATATAATAAGTAGGGATGCACATATTGGATTTCTGCCCATATTTTCAAACTCATTTTAGACTTTTCGGCCAATATCAAAATATGGAGCGAAAAAGATACAGATATATTGGCAGATATCTTTCTTAGATCTATGGTTGATCCAGAGAGATAGATATATACATGTATTGCATTGATCCAGGATCCATCAAATACAGTTATTGAACACTTGTGAAAAAGATATGAAGACATATCAAAATAATTTGACTGTTTGTAAAAACTTTTTAATCAGTCTTTTTAATATCACTATTCTTTTTTAGATCATATTTAATACTTTTGAAACTCTTATGTAGTTCAGTGTTGCCTGTATGTCACTGTGGTTTATTTATGTTTTCTTTATGTACACTTTGCCCTAAACCCTGGTAGGGGTTAAAAACGTTTTTTCAATAAATTGTTTTGCTATTTACCCCCAATATCTCTATAATATGTTGTCCTTCTCTCTTGTTGTTGTTTTTGTTTTCACTCAGATTCACAGCTGCTTCCACAGTCACATAGAATGTTTCAATATTTTTGTCTTTGTTGAATATGGAGGGAAAAATCTCCAGGTAAATTCCTCCTCCCAGTCACAGGTACGTGGTGTTTCCAGGTTGTGTGTGTGTGTGTGTGTGTGTGTGTGTGTGTGTGTGAGTAGTGATGGAGTTGTCTCAGAGGGACAGGCTGTCTGTGCTGGTGGAGGAGCTGACCACATCTGGACAGCCTCAGCTGAACCAGGACAAGATGAAGGAGATCAAGAAGATCTGCAAGTACGTTACTACTTTTCATTTTTACGACGTCTTTTTTAAGTCGAGTGCTGCTTTTTAATTCCGACATATTGATGCACAATGGGCCACATGATCAATGACATAGTGGATGCTGAAATGTAAGGGAGTTCAGGGCCTCTCACTTTGTGTCAACCTGCTGGAGGAGATCAGGGGAGCAGATTCAGAAACATCCTTTAATCCTCTTTTTGCTTTGTCTGTTAAAACACTTTGTAAAAACAATATCAGGTGCTATATGATTAAAGTTCTTTATCATTATCATAATAAACCATACACAATATATCTACTAAATTTACCTGATTATAAATGTTTTTAATAAGACTGAACCACCTGTGTGAAACATTTTCCTGATGTGTTGAATCAGCTGTAAGATTCCACAGGATCGTATGAATTTGATACGATCAATAACAGAATGAAATGTACACGTTGGAAAAACAGAGTGAATCCCAAACTACTTTTAACTCTCCCTGTTGTTCGGCTCACTTCTTTCAGAGCGTCTAATGACTGCATCGACCACGTTTATCACCATGATGTCTCAGCTCAGCCAAGAACACGCCGAGGTCAGACTGTCCGCCTTTCAGATCGCCAGCCAGCTTTCTCCAGATCGCACCACTTCAGGACGATGCTGGTCGACAACTTCCAGGTAGAACCAATCACTCATCTCAGATAAACTTAAGGATTAACACGCATCAGAGAAAGAATAGTGTGGAGTGAGTACCTCTGGTATGGTTCTGTGAGGAATGAGAGATGAACAGCCTCTCCTCTTTCTCTCCTCTTCCTCCATGTCCTCCATGTCCTCTTTAATGGCCTCCTCCCCATGCAGGAGTTCTTGGAATTGACTGTAGAGACGGACTTGGAACAGCCCCTCCCCCCTCCTAAAGAAGTTGCCAGGAAGCTAAGGGCACTGGCTATCCAAACCGTCCAATCCTGGCAGGTCTCTTATAGGGACCATACAAGAAGTTAGCTCTTGGCTACCACTTCCTGAAGCAGGTCAAAAGGTGAGAGGGATGTAAGAAATACCTCCTAGAGATAAACATGTTGTTTCTAATCCGATAAAGGGACCCTGAGTAGATACACTTGCTTTTTTTTAGTTTTAGCTGCATCACTGAGCTGCATGAGCAACAAATACAGGCTGCACATTTACATACAGTTTCTCAAAGTGATCAGGTTTATCAGTCTCAAGGTTATTATTTGGACATTCATCTCCCACATCAAATCCGCCTCCTTTCATAAAAAAGATGTCTCCTGACTCCGACGTCACTCTCTGAACTCAAAGTGACAGAAGTGGCAGAAACTCTGACTCACGCCTAGAGCTGGATAGCTTTCAAAAATCTTTGATATGATACTGATACCGATTACCTTGACTTTGATAACGATTCCTAAACGATACTTTTTTCAATACCAATTTTATAAAAATCCATTTTAACAAAACAAATTACATTACACATTATGATACAAATCTTTGGTTTTGGCATTTTAAAACATTCAAAGCAGTTTCATAACATGAGAATATAAACCATTTTACCACACTGTGCTTTAACTAAAGTTGTCTGTTTTGATCTCTTGACATGTTTCTAAACTTCACGATGCACACTGTAGTCAAGCCTCTCAAACACAACAACACACACGTGTGCCCCGTCTGGTTAAGCAGCCAATCACCATTACCAGTGGTAACCAGTGCGGACCATCAAACTCTGTAGGCATCGAAATTTGGTATCGAATGACAAGCCATTTTTCGATACTCTGTAGGCAGAAAGCCCCAAAAAATCTAACTTTTGTAACCTCCTGCCTCGACTATGTGAGTCCTATGTGAGGTACTCACTCAGCAGAGCCCCAACAGGCTGACAAGGTTCTCACCCGCACTAACCCTGGCTGCACCACAACCTCATCCAACTCCACTGGTCTCCAATGAAATCACACATCAGCTATAAACTCCTTCTCATTCACAAACCCCTCAGCGCCCTGATTTAGTAGATAAACCAGAGTATTGGGTGGAACATTTAAAGTAGTAATTTTTATTTTCTCTTCTTTAAATGTTTTAGCCTTTAAATGTATCCCTTCCTGTATTCATTTTACTGATCTTAGTCTTTTTAAATTCCTCCTCCTTTTATCGTTTTACTCTTCAGCTCTCTGTTGCTTTATTCATTTAACCAATCTCCCGTTTATCTCTTCTTTTTATCTTCATTCTGTGTTTACAGCCTGTGATGTGATATCGTCCCACTCTCCCTCAATTTTCATTTTCTTCTCTCCTGGTTGATTTTAAACTAATGTTCCTTCATTGTACTGAACTGCCTCTCCATACCTGCCTGTTGAATCTTATTCCTGTTATTTGCATTGATATTATTTTTGCCCTCTCTGTTGATCTCTGTTCTGTTGTTGTGTTGCTATATTTGCTTTGTCTGTCACAGCACTTTGTAAACATTTGTTTTTAAAGGTGCTTTATAAATAAAGATATTATTATATTATTATTATCCCCTAAAGATGACACCACATAATCTAAACCTGCTCTGGTACTGTCAGTCTGTTTTCTGTGTTAAATTAATTTTCCCATGTTGTGATCCTGATGTTGTGAACGAGTGTGATGTTTGAATGTTTTCAGGTGGACTTTCAGGACGCTGAGGCTCGGACTGTAGCAGAGAGGAGACGGGAGGAGGAGAGACAGAGAAAAATGGCGAGGATCTACAAGGAGAGGGTGGAGGCGGCATCCAAAGACATGGAGGGTAAACAGACATCATCAAACAACGATAACAGTTAAAGTATTTATTCAGGAATGTTCATCAAGTTGTATTTCTTCATCAGAGTCGCAGCAGGAAATCGAGGCGACGTTGACCGAGATGGAGTCATGCATGAGGCTCCTTTTACCCGAGTTTGACCTCGCAGGCATTCAGGGAGCCAATAGCCCCCAAAAGTCCCAACCAGCCAATGAGTGTGAGGAAGAGCCGTGCTGCAGCAAAGACCTGAAGGATGACAGGAGAGACGGAGCGATGAAAGAGATGGAGGAAAAAGATGAAGAAGGTACGATCAAGAAGGGAGAGGAAGAAAAGAAGAAGGATGGGAAAGAGCAGGATGAGAAGGAGACAGAGGAGGAGAGTAGTGAAGAAGAAGAAGAAGAAGAAGAAGAAGAAGAAGAAAAAAGGAGGAGGATGAAGATGAACAGGAATCTCTTGATGGAGACAGTTTTATCCGTAACTCTGGTCTCATCTCTCACTCGTACAGTCTGGACCTGAACCTCAGCACTGGTACGTCAACATATGAGCACAGATTCTGTTCAAACAGAAACACAGGCAGGTGGAAGCTAAGACGATATATTTTTCTACTTCTTTAACTTTTCTTTTCCTTCTCCCTCCTCCAGGTCTTCATTTAAAGGAGACAGAAGATAATGAGGCAGTGGTTTCCACGGTGATAGACCTCCATAAACTGATCAAGACAAACACCTACCAGCTGTGCAGAGCTGGGTCCAGGTAGGTTACAAACCTCTGAGTGTGTGTGATGATGGATGAGGTGTCCTTCTGAAAGACATTTTATTCACTAATTGTCTAGACGAGTTGAGAACTGATTTAGAGGCAGGACATGCTCAGTAGAGATCGTCTGTCCTTCCTCTATCCAAAGCACACTAAACGTCCTGATTAAAGGTCAAAGGTCGCTCAGGTGGGTTCAGTCCACAGCGGAACAGACACTCACTGTCCTCCTCTACTCTGATAATCTGTTGCACACAGCAATGCAGGAGCCTCATCTGTCAACAGAGCTATATTCCGTTATACTCCTTTTTTTTTATATCATTAAACAAATTAAATCTTAACTTCAGTATTAAAAATAAATATCAGCCTGATAACATCGTACTATGATGACAGAAACATGTTTTCTGATTGTATAGTTCAGGGGTCATCAGCTACATTTATACCAGTGTCAGCTTTTTTCTTGATGCCCTCCTAAATACCTTCAATACCACAAACATATTTTTTTCAAATCAAATTGTCGAATGTTCTGAATTTGTTTATATTCTAATGTATGTTTGGAAAGCTTTGTAGAGCTGGATGTGGCCAACGTGGCCGCCAGTTGATTTCCCATTTTACCTGGTCTGACCTGCCGATACTGATTTTCTGCTTTAAAGCTCTACTATCAGCAAAACGGAAAAAAAAATGGAAAATGTCTTTGATTTAAATATATTTTTATTTATAATAAAACCTGACTGTTAAATAACCTTTTGTTACAAAAAACTATTCAAAAGTGCCTCAGGTCACATGACCATCTCTCATGCTCACTCAGGTCTCTGTACACTCAGTTTACTGCACATTGCACATACTGCACAAGTTCACTTTTTCTTTAAATTTTATTGTATTTTACTTACTACCTTTTGCACAATTTAAAATGTATTACTGTAAATATTATTTATCTTATTTTTACCTCATTTTATTTTATCTAATTTACCTTATCTTATTTTACCTTATTTTGGTTGTATTGCACCACCGGAGACAAACGCATTTTCGATTTCACTGTATGTCTGGCATATTTTGAAATTGACAATAAAGTTGACTTTGACTTTGAGGTCACATGACCATCTCTCATGCTCACTCAGATGAATCTCCACTTGAAACCTTTGTTACCTGTATTCTGCTTTAGTTTTATGATGTGTGTCACTGTGCGCAGCGCTCTGCACAGGGCATGAAACAGCTCATCTGTGTGTGTATGTGTCTGATCAGGCCTTAAATCGGCTCTACTCGTGAGGGTCACATGGATCTATCGGTGCACCCTTAGTAGTTTGTCACTTGTTTAAAGGAGGAGGCAGACCTTAAGACCGACACCACATGTTAGAGCTCTTAATGTTTTTGCTTCACTTTTAGGTAGCTGTCATGTCGTCTATCTTTTCCTACAGACTATGGGCCTTTCTTAAAGTACTCCCTCCACACGCCCTTCGTTAGTGTGCCGGGGATGAATACTGCAGAAAGCTTTTGGACACTCCTTAGGAGACTATCTCAAATCACTCCACAATTTGAGAAAAACACCTTCATGATTGGTGACATTTGTTTTAAAGAAATGTTCGGATTGCCATGACAACTAATAAAAGGTGTTACACCTGTTCAGTTGTTACACCTGTTACAGGGTTTAATACTCTCGCTCCACACTTTGGACAACACTCAATGTGGCCCAACAACTTTCTGATGATAATGGTGCCATGCTGTCTTTTTCCTGTATACATTGCTGTTATTGCTGCTGCTTTGAACGTTTAATTTATCCTTAATGTTGAATCTCTTTATTTTGTCTTATCTTATTTTGTAAATGGTTGTATATAAATGATGTCCAGGCAGTCTCACCTGTTTGTTTTCATGTCTGTCTGGTGTGTTTTTACCTGTGTGTTTTTACCTGTGTGTGTGTAGGTGTTCACCAAAGCGGGCGCTGAACAGCAGATGTTGAGGAGAGCTCTGGACCTGAAGAGTTCATTAGAAGCGTCTCTGCAGAAACACAAAGAGCTTCACATCGATTATAAAACCAGAGTCCGCAAAGTGGTGAGTCACAAACAATACCACCTTATTACTCATAGTTCAGCTGATTCAAGGTTTAAAGATCTGCCTGCAGGGTGACCTCACTTTCACCTGACACCTGTTCAAACATGCAGGAAGAGGTTTTTTTTACAGCAGCCAGGGGCGATGGAGAGAGAAGTCATTTACATGATGACCTTGTGTTTTCTGCTGAGCAAATTTACATATATATATTTTTTTAATTTTCCTCATTATTCAAAAAGCAAACTATAGTTGTCAATGCACATAACCTTCACTATTGTATAGACGTCTTTGAGTTTAGGGTTTTCAATTTAAGTTATTTGTCATTTGTTCGCCCCCCCTGGAGGCTTGATGGTGTTCACGGTATAGCCTCTGCTCATCACATCTTAAGGTTGCCACCTCTATTGTTTTGGAGATTTTGGTTCCGTCCTTAACCCTCATGCATCATTATGGACATTTTTGTCCATTTGGGCAAATGTTTCCTCTTCATCTGGTCATCATTTTGTCTGTGTTAGTGCATATGGCACACATTTTTGTGAGAAAGTCTCTCTTGACACATTTTTAAATGCATTTTTTTTAATAGATCAATAGAACACTGTGAAACATGTTTACTACCCTCTTAAGTCACTAAGGACAAAAATGTCCACTTACAAATGATATTTTTTTCTATTTTTTTCTGCATACATCTCTTAAACAACTTCAGTCCTGTTCAAAACTACCAAACATTCAATCATTTTTAGGAAGGGTTAAATTCCTAAAAATGATTGAATGTTTGGTAGTTTTGAACAGGGCTGAAGTTGTTTAAGAGATGTATGCAGAAAAAATATCAATCTGTTCTATTTTTATAGCAGTTTTTTAGAAGTGGACATGTTTGTCCTTAGTGACTTAAGAGGGTCGTAAATTAAACTGATGCCTGAGGGTTAACTCACCCGCAGCTTGGAGGGGAAGAGAGTCTGGAATTGAACTTTCTTTCAGTACCTTTACGGACCTCTGCGTATTATTCTCTTCTCTCTTTTATGATGAGAGGTGGATAGTCGTGATCCAGGTTTATTTGGTTATCTTGCCATGTGGATCCCGTCCCTTACAGAGTAGAGTGTCTTAGATATGATGGGTGTCTTCTGACGGCCCCGCTGAACGCTGTGCTCTTTCTATTTGCAAATCTGTCACGTCCTCAGATAGACCTAGACCCTCTTGAAGCAGATTTTCCATGAATGTACCCATCGTTGGTAATTCTCCCTCTCACATTCTCACATCTGGAGCGTCTCTCTATAAGTCTTTTAGCATCACATGTAGCTTCAACATCTTTGTCATGACCTCTTCAGTGTTTTGGATCCTCTCCTTTGCTTTCTCGATTTGCCCCTCTGCTTCATCCGTTCTGCTGTTCCCCTTCAAATTGTCTCTAATCGTTCTTTAATTTCGTGGCGAAACCCTCTTTTTTCTTTTTTTAAATAATTTCCTTGTTGTCTGTCGCATGATCACATGGTTACAATCTGTTTCTTGGTGTGTAATCAACGCTGTATTAATATCAGTGGGCTCCACGGTTGGTAGAAAAAAAATCTAGCTTTTAATGACGTGTGAGCGCACATAATTTATACCCACAAGCTCACTGGATGGAGAGCGTGGGGTCGGTCTTTAGAAACATCAGACAGACAGAAATACACAAAAAGATTTATCACAGCCAACGACAGCAGAACTTCAGAGGGGAGCAAACACCTTCAACTCTTTACATTTTCAAAGCAGAAGCACTTCAACTTAAGTGTAAAACCCCTCTTTGTATCCTGTGGATGACTCTCTAACATGGTCAGTTCATTACTGTGCACCTCCAGCAGTCAATTCTAAAAAGAGTGAATTTACACATGTCTGATCCATGATTACATTTAAAAGACCAGCTGATGTAGCTGCTGGTACAGAGCATGGCCAGCAGGTGGCAGCATCGTCCTACAGCTTACATTTGCGATATTAACAACACTGAACATGAGGCACAGATCTTTAATTTAAAAAGACTAAAAGATCAGACAGAGAGGACGAATGTTTTCAGAATCATCACATCAGCTGATTTTTTTTTCTTTTCTTTCAACTGTGTGTACATTTATTTTCTAACTCACAATTAGTGAACAGAATCGTCTTTATCTTTGGGTTTGGTCACTGAACAAAAGATACTTTCACAATATTTCTTGTTCACTTGTTATGATTGCTTTAAGTAAAACTGGGGAGGGACAGGGGTGTAGTGCAGAGTATACAGAGTTTATTTACCCACTGATTGTTCAGTCTCCATAAGGTACACCTGTTTCTTAATAATAACTGATTACTTAAATTGAAAAAACCAACGCATTATGTGACTTGTTACAACAAAACAGCAATCAGAGTTGGTACACTATTGCATTGCTTTGTAACGCATTACCTCCAGTCCTGAAATCATTTACTCAAAATGCTTCACTATGTAGATGTCTCCGTCTTTGTTCTGTTGTCCAGTTACATTCTGCTCCTCTTCTGTGGCTTATTTTCATTTTATAACCATCCCCTCTCCCTGAAGTGAAGTTGCAGAGTGTCAATGTGCAAATATAAAAGGTCAGTTTTTTTAGGTGAACAAATGCAAGAGGAGTCTCAAACAGTCAAACAGTCTCTGTTTCTAAAAGAGGCCGTTTATCCTCTGCTGGACGGGCCACTTAATAAAAACATACATTTGGTGGAAAAATTCAGAGTATACCCCACCTGCCCGAAGCTCCACTACACCACTGAGAAAGGCCTCATATTGGGCTGTGCCTGGGGCCTTTTCTGGCCCACATGTCAAACAGACTGAAGGAAATATCTTTACCCTGCACTGCTCTGCACAAAACTCCCACAACAATCCTATCAATAAGTCCCACAGTAAAGAATTGAAAACCTAACATTCATTATTATAAAAAATACTGAACAACATGGCTTTAAAAGCAACACAAATACACTCTGTAAAGATGATCACATCTTAAACACACTCTTAAACACTTTATAAAGGTCTTTGAATGAGGATTCTGCAGTAAACACATTTGGCTCTTGTTGACGCTTCATCTAGTGGCCTATTGAAGAACTGCGGCCTCAGATTCCTGTAACCACTCAGTCTTATGGTGTACACTTATCACTAATCTTTACACTAATGTTCACTTTAGATAAACAACAATGAATGTTTCCAGACATGCAAAGTGCTTAGGCTGCAATTGATTAAAAAAGAATCTATCATTATTTTTCTCTATGATTTTGTAAAAGAACAACTATAATATCAATCCCTGTTGCTGGGATACGAAGTTTATGATGTGAAGTACCTCTCAAACCCTGGAGTTCTCTAAACTCTTCTCTTCCTACGTTTATTTTCCCTCTAATGTCTCTATTCAGTCCTTACTCTAGAGGGAGGTATCATAAAGAGAGGATGGAAATATTGAGAGTAAAGACATAGATAGCAAAGTGAAGCCATCATGCATAATGCATCAGAGACAGAGGGGAGAAATTGGGGAGCAGTGGGGGAGGATGTACCCATTTATCCCCTTCACTACCACTAATGTGCCCCATGGCTTTGACAGCTGATATGTCTATCTGCCGGCCTCCAAATCTGGCCGTGCATCGTAAATCTGCTGTTGTCTTAGCTGATTTAAACGCAGGGTCAAAAGTCACCTCTTCAGTGTTTTTTTTTTGGTTTTTTTTAATAATAAATGCTTATTTGAGATTGTTTAATTGGTGCTGAGGGATTTTTCTGCACACTTCCTCTGCTAAGAGATCAGAGAAACAGAGAGGAGTCACAGCTCCAGTTCTAAAGAACACATTAATGCAAAGTGCTGTATGAAAAAAAAAAAGGCATAAAAGTTGTAACGTGTGAATCCATCTTTAGGCCAGCGGAGCGTCAGAGTGACAGTGACAGAGCGCCCGGGCGTCTCGCTCTGGCTGGTTATCACTGTCAGGGACCAGTCTGATGCACCAGCAGGCCCAGCGCTGCGATAACCACACAACTTACAGCCCCTTTATCATAATTAGCTTTTCCTTTTTAGCCTTAAAAGGCCTTCCATTACCGGGTCCTTCTCTATCGGGCTGCTGACACACCACACGATTGGTTTCTCTCTCAGCGGGCCCCTCAGTATTGTCTCACATTACAGGGGGGCAGCAGAGAGAGCCAGAATGGGGGTGGGGGTGTTATAGATGCAGATAGAGATGACTTTTACTGAATGAGGGAGTCAGACAGAATAAAAAAATCATCTACATAAAGTTGGAAAACTTGAAAATAGAAATGCACAATGGTGCTTTGTTTAGTTTTTTTAACAACAGTTCCTTTCACTTGTGTTATATTTAAAAGTTGGCCAAGTCGTACTGTGCACATTTAACCTTGAAAAGATGTTTAGAATAAACAGTTTATTCATTTATTTCATAAACAGTTTATGGCCACAGCAGAACTGACTTTAAGTAGGTACTTTCACACTTTCGCACCAAACCTCCACAGTCTTGGGGTTAGTCTGTGTGTATGAATGCAAACAGCCTAAAAGTCACCCTGACTTTATCTGGAGTTTCTCCTCCAGCATCCTCGTGTCTATTCTGCAGAAAGTCAGAGTGAGCTGATGTGAGAACGCAGCAGGATATAATCAGGAGAATTCACCTGGAGCGAGTTGGGGAGGGCGGGGGGGTTATGTTTATTCCCTGTGATGGATGCATGATGAGAGACTGTCTACATCGGTTATAATGTCATTGTACAAAAGTACAACAAAACTAGAAGTGCTGGTGGCTCAGTGGTTAGTGCGCGTGTCCCATGTACAGAGGCTGTAGTCCTTCAAGCGGGCAGCCTGGGTTTGAATCCAGCCTGTGGCTTCTTTCTCACATGTCATTCCCCACTCTCTCTCTCTCTCTGACTTCAGACTCTATCCACTGTCCTATCTCTACAATAAAGGCACAAAAAATACATCTTTAAAAAAACCTAGAAGTGCTTCACCTTAAAGTGCACAAAAATACATTTTCATTATTTAGGTTTCGTATTTGTGTTTTCAGTTTTT